GTGATAACGTAGTTCCCGTCATCGGACCATCGCCAGACTAATCTGTCCTGGTGCACGTCGCTCATGAGGTCCCAAATCGTGAGTTACTCTTCAATCGCCGGGACGCATAGTCCACCCGTGATCTGAGTGATCCAGTTGCCGTTCGGTAGCGCTTTAGCCACTGTCACCCGGTGGACTAGGCAGCAAACGACCAGGCCGATGAGGGTCGGCGCCAAGTCTTGGATGGCTTGGCCGTGCAGCCACCGCCCGGTCTAGAATTTGGTATTTTGTCCATTGCCAAGCACAGTGTAGGTGGACGCTCGGAAGAAGGCTGCTACCTCGTCTTGATCGGCAGTTGTGACCACGCCCTTTCTTCGTCGGTCTGCTGAAGGCACAGCCATTTGGTTTGAAGGGCGATCCCAGTGAGCTTGAGGTCAGGGATGTCAAGGCCGCCCAGTTCCGTTGGCCGGCAAACGGCGGGCCAGGCGACCATGCACTTTCCTCGAATGGAGTCGTCGTTCCCTGATAATACAATTTAAAATAAATTTGCTTACAATCTTAAATTGTTCAACTTATATCGGAGCTATAATTACATTCTTTTGGACCGAACGAGTCCCTACTATTCATTAAACAAGGAGGTAGCAGAACTTCAGATTTGCGTTCAAAAAAAAAAGTTCAGAACTTCAGATAGAAAAGAAACCAAAAATCGATTGCAAACATGGGTAATATTTGTGATATAGTCCGTTCTTCATTTCATACAATTCCCTATGGTTGTAGTACAACCTTAACAAAAAAAAACTATATACATGATCAGAGCTATTAAGTCATACACAAACAGCTACCTGCTGGTTGCATGGTGCCATGACGTTGACAGTGTGGCATAGCCTGACCATGGAGCTCAACAACGCTCTCACAACCTCTTCAGAGGCATCTCTCCTAAGCAAACACATTACGTACTCCATCACCGCTGCGTCACAGGGCAGCGTGATCTTGTCATCGTCGCTCGCGAACCCAAACTCTTCTTGCGACAGCATTAGGAGCTCGCAGAAGACCACCGTGCCGAGGTACGCCAGCGGGACCTCGAACCGTTACCCGTCAGCCGAGTACACAACACAGTGTCCTTTGCCAGCCACCGACGTCAAAGTGCTGCACGATCCTTCGCTTTCTTTTGCCAGGATCGGCATGACCCTCTTCCTCGTAAGGGCGGCGATCCTTTGCCATTTCCTTGCCATTTGCACAAGTTTCTTGGCACTGATCATGGTTGCCGGCTCTCCTTTCGACTGAAATTCAGAGAGCCTGTGTATATCAGGTGGTGTTCAGCTATGCTTAGCTTGTTGACAGACTGATGAAGAGTTGCTGCTAAGCTGATGCATTTATAGATGAGAACGAACTGATGAGAAAGAGAAGAGCATGCGGTCCAACTGTCCAAGTGATCTATCAACTTGGGCTGTCTAGAGAGTAGAGACAAGCCCACGAGCTCTGAACTTGCATTGCTGCAAGGAGAAAATAGTGTGTGGTTTTGATTAGATTGCTCTGGGGGCATCTGTTTGGCACTTGTTGGATCCACCAGTAGCAATGTCTGGGTTGCTAGGAGCCTAGGATATCACAATGTGCTGCCATACTGCAATGCCTCATAGGCCATGAAGACCACATGCAGATTGGGTCCAAATTGTCAGTACCAATTGTTATACATTCTGGCACAAGATATCTGAAAGTTTTCGTGCCCACGGCACTTTGTCTCTGAGCAACCTGATTAAACCTGTCCAGCGTCCCAGTCTCCGAGACAACTTGCTAGACAGCTTATCTCCTCTTCAATTTGCGGTCTGCAGATGGATCACTAGCACATCATGTGAGCTCTATTACGCAGCTGCTTCTTGCAGTTCTCCACATTACAGCTTTCCTGTACTATTATTATTCTTGCAGTGTGCCACATCCATCTGACTGAAGCACTCAGTCCATGCTTTCCTGTCCTCATTTTGCTGTGACCATGCCGATGTATCTGACGACACAATTGACAGCTGAACAATTATGGCCCTCACTCTTCACGTTGGCCCCAACAAACGTGGGGTCCTCGTGCTGCTTCCCCACAACACCAGAATGGGTGATGTCCAATCCAAGCACCGAAAGCGCACCACGACCGGCATCAGGCGCACCACAATCGTGCCCGCAGACGCGTCTTGCAACATCGCACTCACCGTGCCCATGGCCTTGTCCCTTGCCCAACCATTGCACTCCAGCAGTCCTGTGAGCTATATGTTCAGGGTCAGGTGGCCTCTGAACATCATCACTTGCAGCTTCACAAACCAACTAAAACACAGCAAACTGAAGTTACAGCTCTCCAGCTTTCATATAGAAGGAAGAAGGAACAAGCCAACAACCAACCATGATGAGCGCCAAGAGGATTGCTCATCTGGCCAAGAAGTGGCAGAGGATGGCTGCACAAGGGAGGAAGCGCCTCACCTGGGCTGCGGCAGCAAAGGAAGCCGTCGAGTGCTGCAGCTCCGTGGCGAGCAAGGGCCACTGCACTGTGTACACGGCCGACGGCGCGCGGTTCGAGGTGCCGCTGCCGTGCCTTATCACCGCAGTCTTCGGGGAGCTCCTGCAAATGTCACAGGAAGAGTTTGGCTTCACGGGCGGCGATGGCAGGATCACGCTCCCCTGCGACGTGGCGGTCATGGAGTACGCCATGTGTTTGCTCAGGAGAGGCGCCTCTGCCGAGCTAGAGCAGGCTTTCCTTACCACCATGGCGATGTCGTGCCACTATGCCAGCCGTGTGGCGCCATGTGTAGAAGCCAGCCAACAGATTGCTGCTTAGTGCTGTTCAGTGTAGTGTAGGTAGTAGAGCAACGATATTAAATAGATAAGTATTATTCAGAGCCTTCTGATCCTGCAAGGCTGCAACTGATCAAGTAAGGTGTTACAAGTACAAGAAGTTAGAGAGACCACTTACATATGTGTCCCTCGATATAATTGGCTTATGAAAATTGTTTGGACTACTTACATTACATGGCAACAGAGTTTCTTCTGCAGAACTCTGACTTAAAATCAGCTTTGAGGTTGTTCGTTCAAAATAAAAATCTGAGAGGTTGCTTCATGTGGCAGAAGTGCACAACGCAAAAGATATGGATAAAGACAAAAAATGGAAGATAAAAACTGGCTATCATTCATGAGATGCCAAATGGCATGTGCCCAGCATGTCATATACTCTTAACTTTCTTTGTTTCATAGAGATGGGAATGGGCCGGGTCGACACATTGGATAGTTGACCCGACCCAAAAAATTAGGGCCAATAGGTCATAGGGCCGGCCTCAAAAACTAAAATGGGTCGATAGGGCCGGTACCTATTGACCCAATGGGTAAGATGGTCGACTCATTCGTCACATAACAACATTTGTAATCTTATATTATCATCGTACTTATCAAGTGTTGGCGCTGAGGACCATATCAGGCAACTAGCCATGCAGTGTGGAAAACAACCTATGCCGTCGCATAAAAAAGACGCTTTCAGCCACCTCCAAAAAAGAATTCTAGAGGCGGGCCGGCTAGAAACTTATTTTTAAAGGTGGTTCTTGATAGAACCTCATCTGCCAAAAAAATGGAGGCTTTTTTTCGCGACCATGCATTGGCATGTATATCATTAAGTAGAAGTAAGAGTTGCAATGGTAAACTCCGGTTGCCCTAGGACGCGAGTGGCACACTACGGCCAAACGGAGTTAACCAGGCAACAGGAAGCGAAAACGGTAAGTAGTAAAGCTAAGGCAATATTACATGACAACAAATGTTGCAACGAAGGGGCTGCCGAAGATCAGGCGCCATCAATGGCCGCCCAGAGTGCAGCTAGGTGGCCGTTCCTGGCCTGAGACCACCGAACCGCCTCTTCCACTACGGAGTCCGCGACCGCGACAACCGACCGGCCGACGCCATCGAACACCCTCCGGTTTTGCTCCTTCCATAGGCACCACGATCCAAGGATAGTGAGGGAGTCGAAGCCTTTGCGACTTGCCGTCCCCAGCAGAATGCGGCGCGACAGCCACCAATCTAGGAAGCTAGTCCATGGCTGCGGCGTGAGAAGCTCATGGCCGATGGGAGCAAGCACCCTGTACCACACCTCCCTGGCGAATACATATTCACCCGTAAGGTGCTGTGCCGTCTCCTGTTCCTGATCACAGAGAGCGCAGACATCCTCGTCCTGCAGCCCTCGACGCTTTCTTCTTGCCGCTGTCCACAGGCGATCATGTAACAATAGCCAGAAGAAGAATTTGCACTTAGGCGGTGCCCGAGCCTTCCAGAGTTCCTTTGCGCCCTGCAGAAAAATCGTTTTTAGTGTTGCTTATTTGCAAACTTTGGGGGTTATGATTTTTCCTTCTACTCTCTCGGTCCTTAAAAGAATGAACTACTTATAATGCTAAGTCAAACCATCTAAAGTTAACCAAAATTATATTAAAAAATACTAATACTTACTATATCAAATAATTACCATTAAATTTATCATGGAACATATTCTCATAAATAACATACCTATTTAGAATCATACCTATTAAAACTATTTACAATAAATTTACTTAAAATCTTAAAGGGTTCAACTTATATCCGACGTATAATTACATTCTTTTGGACCAAACGAGTCCCCACTATTCATTAAACAAGACGAGTTCAGAACTTCAGATAGAAAAAAACCAAGAATCTAGTCACCACGATTGCAAAGATCGGTGAGATTTGTGATATACTTCATTTCATACCATTCCCTATGATTCTAGAAAAAACTTAACAAATGAATTATATACATCATCACAGCTATATTAAGTCATACACAAACAGCTAGCCGCTGGTTCCATGGTGCCACGCCGCTGACAGTGTGGCATGGCCTGAACATGGAACTCAAGAACGCACTCACAACCTCTTCAGAGGCATCTCTTCTAAGCAAACACATTATGTACTCCATCACCGCTGCGTCACAGGGCAGCGTGATCTTGCCATCGTCGCTCGTGAACCCAAACTCTTTTTGCGACAGCATTAGGAGCTCACAGAAGGCCACAGTGCCGAGGTGCGCCAGCAGGACCTCGAACCCCTGCGTCACAGGGCAGCGTGATCTTGCCGTCATCGCTCTCGAACCCAAACTCTTCTCGCGACAGCATTAGGAGCTCGCTGAAGACCACTGTGCCAAGGTACGCCAGCGGGACCTCGAACCGCAGCCCATCAGCCGAGTACACAACGCAGTGTCCTTTGCCAGCCACCGACGTCGGCGTGCTACACGATCCTTCGCTTTCTTTCGCCAGGATCGGCATGACCCTCTTCCTCGCAAGGGAGGCTATCCTTTGCCACTTCCTTGCCATTTGCACAAGTCTCTTGGCACTGATCATGGTTGTCGGCTCTCCTTTCCTGACTGAAGTTCAGAGAACCTTATGTATCAGGTGCTGTTCAGCTAGGTGTAATGCTTAGCTTGCTGATGGGCAGATGAAGAGTTGCTGCTAAGCTGATGCACTTATAGGTGAGAACGAACGGAGAAGAACGAGCAGAGCATGCGGTCCAAGTGCATCTATCAACTCAGGCCGTCGAGAGACAAGCCCACGAGCTCTGAACATGCATTGCTGCAAGGAGAAAATAGTGTGTGGTTTTGATTAGATTGCTCTGGGGCCATCTGTGTTGGCACTTGTTGGATCCACCAGTAGCAATGCCTGGGTTGCTACGATATCACAATGTGCTGCCATACTGCAATGCCTCATGGGCCATGAAGACCACATGGAAATTGGGTCCAAACTGTCAGTACCAATTGTTATATGTTCTATCTCAAGATATCTGACAGTTTTGCGCCCACAGCACATTGTCTCTGAGCGACCAGATTAAGCCTGTCCAGTGGCCCAGACAACTTGCTCGACAGCTTTATCGCCTCTTCAGTTTGCGGTCTGCAGCTGGATCACTTGCACATCAAGTGACCTCTACTTCGCAGCAGCTTCTTGAAGTTCTCTGCATTCCAGTTCTTCTATACTACTATTATTCTTGAAGCATGCCATTGCCATCTGATTGAAACACTCGGTCCATGCTTCCCTGTCCTCCATCTTGCTGGGGGCAGTGCCTTGTTATCAGTCTGAAAGCAAACAAGGAATCCTCATCACCCTGTTCTGAAATAAACCCAAGCTTATCTGCTGATGTATCTGATGGCACAACCGCCAGCTGAACAATTCTGGCCCTCACACTGCACGTTGGTACGAAGTCCCAACAAACATGGGGTCCTCGTGCCGCTTCCCCGCAACACCGCTCGGCATGGCTCCAATCCAAGCACCGAAAATGCACCACGACCGGCACCAGCATGTGCTAGACACTCGGCCCCATCAGAATCTCATCCAAATCGTGCTCGCAGACGCATCTTGCAACATCGCACTCACCGTGCTCATGGCCTTGTCCCTTGCCCAACCATTTCGCTCCAGCAGTCGAGTGAGCTATATATTCAGAGTCAGGTGGCCTCTGAACATCATCACTTGCAGCTTCACAAGCAAATTAAAACACAGCAAAGTAGCAAACTGAAGTCTCAGCTCTCCAGCTTCCATCCAGAAAGAAGGAAAAAAAACAACCACCAACCATGATCAGCGCCAAGAGGATTGCTCATCTGGCCAAGAAGTGGCAGTGGATGGCAGCACAAGGGAGGAAGCGCCTCACCTTGGCGGCGGCAACAAAGGAAGCTGACGAGTGCTGCAGCTCTGTGGCGAGCAAGGGCCACTGCACGGTGTACACGGCCGACGGCGCGCGGTTCGAGGTGCCGCTGGTGTGCCTTAGCACCACGGTCTTCTGGGGAGCTTCTGCAAATGTCACAGGAAGAGTTCGGCTTCACGGGCGGCGACGGCTGGATCACGCTCCCCTGCGACGCGGCGGTCATGGAGTACGCCATGTGTTTGCTCAGGAGAGGCGCCTCTGCCGAGCTAGAGCAGGCTTTCCTTAGCACCTTGGCGATGTCGTGCCACTATGCCAGCCGTGTGGCGCCGTGTGTAGAAGCCAGCCAGCAGATTGCTGTTTAGTGCTGTTCAGTGTAGTGTAGATAGTACTAGTAGAGCAAAGATATTAACTAGATAAGTGTTATTCAGAGCCTTGTGATCCAGCAACTGATCAAGTAAGGTGTTATAAGTACAAGAAAATAAAGAGACATGATTCTTGTTCTGAACCTATGTTTCGCTGCAGTGTCAGAGATAATTGGTTTATGGAAATTGTGAGGACTTACATTAAGTGGCAACAGAGTTCCTTCTGCAGAAATCTTGACTTCAAATCCGAGAGGATGTCCATCCAAAAATAATCTGAGAGGTTCCTGCATGTGGCACAAGTGCAAAACGCAAAAGCCATGCACAAGCACAACCGCCATTCCGGACACCAGCTCAACCGAATTGTTGAAATCGTGCCTCCAGTCCAGCCCTCTTTACGGAATCCCAGCGAAATCTGAAAGCGAACAGCAGAGTTGAGATGTGGAGAAAGACCAAAGACGGAACTTACAAACTGGCTATCAGGATTCAGGAGCTGTAAAATGGCATGTGCTCAGCATGCCGTTTACTCGTAACTTTCTTTGTTCCCATACAATATCTCATGGCGTATATTTTTGACCTTCAATGCATATATTTCACTACGAATATCACCTAAAATAGATTCTTACAGCACATCAAACCTACGATTTTTTGCACGAATTGCCAAATACAAATCTACATATATGCTAGAAGATAGCATTGCGCATCACCATGGTGCTTTAGATCATGTATGCCAGTGCAAAAGCTAATTAGATGCTTTCACCGTGACATGAGCAATCACCCATTTTATTATACGACCCGTGTATGGTAGTTAAAAGAAATAAAGGTGACCATCACTTCATATTCAAAAATTTATATACATCATCAGAGCTATTAAGTCATACACAAACAGCTGGCCGTTGGTTCCATGGTGCCACGCCGCTGACAGTGTGACATGGCCAGGCCATGGAGCTCAAGAAGGCTCTCACAACCTCTTCAGAGGCATCTCTTCTAAGCAAACACATCACGTACTCCATCACAGCAGCATCACAGGGCAGCGTGATCTTGCCGTCATCGCTCTCGAACCCAAACTCTTCTCGCGACAGCATTAGGAGCTCGCTGAAGACCACTGTGCCAAGGTACGCCAGCGGGACCTCGAACCGCAGCCCATCAGCCGAGTACACAACGCAGTGTCCTTTGCCAGCCACCGACGTCGGCGTGCTACACGATCCTTCGCTTTCTTTCGCCAGGATCGGCATGACCCTCTTCCTCGCAAGGGAGGCTATCCTTTGCCACTTCCTTGCCATTTGCACAAGTCTCTTGGCACTGATCATGGTTGTCGGCTCTCCTTTCCTGACTGAAGTTCAGAGAACCTTATGTATCAGGTGCTGTTCAGCTAGGTGTAATGCTTAGCTTGCTGATGGGCAGATGAAGAGTTGCTGCTAAGCTGATGCACTTATAGGTGAGAACGAACGGAGAAGAACGAGCAGAGCATGCGGTCCAAGTGCATCTATCAACTCAGGCCGTCGAGAGACAAGCCCACGAGCTCTGAACATGCATTGCTGCAAGGAGAAAATAGTGTGTGGTTTTGATTAGATTGCTCTGGGGCCATCTGTGTTGGCACTTGTTGGATCCACCAGTAGCAATGCCTGGGTTGCTACGATATCACAATGTGCTGCCATACTGCAATGCCTCATGGGCCATGAAGACCACATGGAAATTGGGTCCAAACTGTCAGTACCAATTGTTATATGTTCTATCTCAAGATATCTGACAGTTTTGCGCCCACAGCACATTGTCTCTGAGCGACCAGATTAAGCCTGTCCAGTGGCCCAGACAACTTGCTCGACAGCTTTATCGCCTCTTCAGTTTGCGGTCTGCAGCTGGATCACTTGCACATCAAGTGACCTCTACTTCGCAGCAGCTTCTTGAAGTTCTCTGCATTCCAGTTCTTCTATACTACTATTATTCTTGAAGCATGCCATTGCCATCTGATTGAAACACTCGGTCCATGCTTCCCTGTCCTCCATCTTGCTGGGGGCAGTGCCTTGTTATCAGTCTGAAAGCAAACAAGGAATCCTCATCACCCTGTTCTGAAATAAACCCAAGCTTATCTGCTGATGTATCTGATGGCACAACCGCCAGCTGAACAATTCTGGCCCTCACACTGCACGTTGGTACGAAGTCCCAACAAACATGGGGTCCTCGTGCCGCTTCCCCGCAACACCGCTCGGCATGGCTCCAATCCAAGCACCGAAAATGCACCACGACCGGCACCAGCATGTGCTAGACACTCGGCCCCATCAGAATCTCATCCAAATCGTGCTCGCAGACGCATCTTGCAACATCGCACTCACCGTGCTCATGGCCTTGTCCCTTGCCCAACCATTTCGCTCCAGCAGTCGAGTGAGCTATATATTCAGAGTCAGGTGGCCTCTGAACATCATCACTTGCAGCTTCACAAGCAAATCAAAACAGAGCAAAGTAGCAAACTGAAGTCTCAGCTCTCCAGCTTCCATCCAGAAAGAAGAAGAAAAAAGCCAACAAACAACCATGATCAGCGCCAAGAGGATTGCTCATCTGGCCAAGAAGTGGCAGAGGATGGCTGCACAAGGGAGGAAGCGCCTCACCTTGGGGGCGGCAGCAAAGGAAGCCGACGAGTGCTGCAGCTCCGTGGCGAGCAAGGGCCACTGCACGGTGTACACGGCCGACGGGGCGCGGTTCAAGGTGCCGCTGGCGTGCCTTAGCACCACGGTCTTCGGGGAGCTTCTGCAAATGTCACAGGAAGAGTTCGGCTTCACAGGCAGCGACGGCAGGATCACGCTCCCCTGCGACGCGGCGGTCATGGAGTACGCCATGTGTTTGCTCAGGAGAGGCGCCTCTGCCGAGCTAGAGCAGGCTTTCCTTACCACCATGGCGATGTCGTGCCACTATGTCAGCCGTGTGGCGCCGTGTGTAGAAGCCAGCCAGCAGATTGCTGTTTAGTGCTGTTCAGTGTAGTGTAGGTGGTACTAGTAGAGCAAAGATATTAACTAGATAAGTGTTATTCAGAGCCTTGTGATCCAGCAACTGATCAAGTAAGGTGTTATAAGTACAAGAAAATAAAGAGACATGATTCTTGTTCTGAACCTATGTTTCGCTGCAGTGTCAGAGATAATTGGTTTATGGAAATTGTGAGGACTTACATTAAGTGGCAACAGAGTTCCTTCTGCAGAAATCTTGACTTCAAATCCGAGAGGATGTCCATCCAAAAATAATCTGAGAGGTTCCTGCATGTGGCACAAGTGCAAAACGCAAAAGCCATGCACAAGCACAACCGCCATTCCGGACACCAGCTCAACCGAATTGTTGAAATCGTGCCTCCAGTCCAGCCCTCTTTACGGAATCCCAGCGAAATCTGAAAGCGAACAGCAGAGTTGAGATGTGGAGAAAGACCAAAGACGGAACTTACAAACTGGCTATCAGGATTCAGGAGCTGTAAAATGGCATGTGCTCAGCATGCCGTTTACTCGTAACTTTCTTTGTTCCCATACAATATCTCATGGCGTATATTTTGACCTTCAATGCATATATTTCACTACGAATATCACCTAAAATAGATTCTTACAGCACATCAAACCTACGATTTTTTGCACGAATTGCCAAATACAAATCTACATATATGCTAGAAGATAGCATTGCGCATCACCATGGTGCTTTTTAGATCATGTATGCCAGTGCAAAAGCTAATTAGATGCTTTCACCGTGACATGAGCAATCACCCATTTTATTATACGACCCGTGTATGGTAGTTAAAAGAAATAAAGGTGACCATCACTTCATATTCAAAAATTTATATACATCATCAGAGCTATTAAGTCATACACAAACAGCTGGCCGTTGGTTCCATGGTGCCACGCCGCTGACAGTGTGACATGGCCAGGCCATGGAGCTCAAGAAGGCTCTCACAACCTCTTCAGAGGCATCTCTTCTAAGCAAACACATCACGTACTCCATCACAGCAGCATCACAGGGCAGCGTGATCTTGCCGTCATCGCTCTCGAACCCAAACTCTTCTCGCGACAGCATTAGGAGCTCGCTGAAGACCACTGTGCCAAGGTACGCCAGCGGGACCTCGAACCGCAGCCCATCAGCCGAGTACACAACGCAGTGTCCTTTGCCAGCCACCGACGTCGGCGTGCTACACGATCCTTCGCTTTCTTTCGCCAGGATCGGCATGACCCTCTTCCTCGCAAGGGAGGCTATCCTTTGCCACTTCCTTGCCATTTGCACAAGTCTCTTGGCACTGATCATGGTTGTCGGCTCTCCTTTCCTGACTGAAGTTCAGAGAACCTTATGTATCAGGTGCTGTTCAGCTAGGTGTAATGCTTAGCTTGCTGATGGGCAGATGAAGAGTTGCTGCTAAGCTGATGCACTTATAGGTGAGAACGAACGGAGAAGAACGAGCAGAGCATGCGGTCCAAGTGCATCTATCAACTCAGGCCGTCGAGAGACAAGCCCACGAGCTCTGAACATGCATTGCTGCAAGGAGAAAATAGTGTGTGGTTTTGATTAGATTGCTCTGGGGCCATCTGTGTTGGCACTTGTTGGATCCACCAGTAGCAATGCCTGGGTTGCTACGATATCACAATGTGCTGCCATACTGCAATGCCTCATGGGCCATGAAGACCACATGGAAATTGGGTCCAAACTGTCAGTACCAATTGTTATATGTTCTATCTCAAGATATCTGACAGTTTTGCGCCCACAGCACATTGTCTCTGAGCGACCAGATTAAGCCTGTCCAGTGGCCCAGACAACTTGCTCGACAGCTTTATCGCCTCTTCAGTTTGCGGTCTGCAGCTGGATCACTTGCACATCAAGTGACCTCTACTTCGCAGCAGCTTCTTGAAGTTCTCTGCATTCCAGTTCTTCTATACTACTATTATTCTTGAAGCATGCCATTGCCATCTGATTGAAACACTCGGTCCATGCTTCCCTGTCCTCCATCTTGCTGGGGGCAGTGCCTTGTTATCAGTCTGAAAGCAAACAAGGAATCCTCATCACCCTGTTCTGAAATAAACCCAAGCTTATCTGCTGATGTATCTGATGGCACAACCGCCAGCTGAACAATTCTGGCCCTCACACTGCACGTTGGTACGAAGTCCCAACAAACATGGGGTCCTCGTGCCGCTTCCCCGCAACACCGCTCGGCATGGCTCCAATCCAAGCACCGAAAATGCACCACGACCGGCACCAGCATGTGCTAGACACTCGGCCCCATCAGAATCTCATCCAAATCGTGCTCGCAGACGCATCTTGCAACATCGCACTCACCGTGCTCATGGCCTTGTCCCTTGCCCAACCATTTCGCTCCAGCAGTCGAGTGAGCTATATATTCAGAGTCAGGTGGCCTCTGAACATCATCACTTGCAGCTTCACAAGCAAATCAAAACAGAGCAAAGTAGCAAACTGAAGTCTCAGCTCTCCAGCTTCCATCCAGAAAGAAGAAGAAAAAAGCCAACAAACAACCATGATCAGCGCCAAGAGGATTGCTCATCTGGCCAAGAAGTGGCAGAGGATGGCTGCACAAGGGAGGAAGCGCCTCACCTTGGGGGCGGCAGCAAAGGAAGCCGACGAGTGCTGCAGCTCCGTGGCGAGCAAGGGCCACTGCACGGTGTACACGGCCGACGGGGCGCGGTTCAAGGTGCCGCTGGCGTGCCTTAGCACCACGGTCTTCGGGGAGCTTCTGCAAATGTCACAGGAAGAGTTCGGCTTCACAGGCAGCGACGGCAGGATCACGCTCCCCTGCGACGCGGCGGTCATGGAGTACGCCATGTGTTTGCTCAGGAGAGGCGCCTCTGCCGAGCTAGAGCAGGCTTTCCTTACCACCATGGCGATGTCGTGCCACTATGTCAGCCGTGTGGCGCCGTGTGTAGAAGCCAGCCAGCAGATTGCTGTTTAGTGCTGTTCAGTGTAGTGTAGGTGGTACTAGTAGAGCAAAGATATTAACTAGATAAGTGTTATTCAGAGCCTTGTGATCCAGCAACTGATCAAGTAAGGTGTTATAAGTACAAGAAAATAAAGAGACATGATTCTTGTTCTGAACCTATGTTTCGCTGCAGTGTCAGAGATAATTGGTTTATGGAAATTGTGAGGACTTACATTAAGTGGCAACAGAGTTCCTTCTGCAGAAATCTTGACTTCAAATCCGAGAGGATGTCCATCCAAAAATAATCTGAGAGGTTCCTGCATGTGGCACAAGTGCAAAACGCAAAAGCCATGCACAAGCACAACCGCCATTCCGGACACCAGCTCAACCGAATTGTTGAAATCGTGCCTCCAGTCCAGCCCTCTTTACGGAATCCCAGCGAAATCTGAAAGCGAACAGCAGAGTTGAGATGTGGAGAAAGACCAAAGACGGAACTTACAAACTGGCTATCAGGATTCAGGAGCTGTAAAATGGCATGTGCTCAGCATGCCGTTTACTCGTAACTTTCTTTGTTCCCATACAATATCTCATGGCGTATATTTTGACCTTCAATGCATATATTTCACTACGAATATCACCTAAAATAGATTCTTACAGCACATCAAACCTACGATTTTTTGCACGAATTGCCAAATACAAATCTACATATATGCTAGAAGATAGCATTGCGCATCACCATGGTGCTTTAGATCATGTATGCCAGTGCAAAAGCTAATTAGATGCTTTCACCGTGACATGAGCAATCACCCATTTTATTATACGACCCGTGTATGGTAGTTAAAAGAAATAAAGGTGACCATCACTTCATATTCAAAAATTTATATACATCATCAGAGCTATTAAGTCATACACAAACAGCTGGCCGTTGGTTCCATGGTGCCACGCCGCTGACAGTGTGACATGGCCAGGCCATGGAGCTCAAGAAGGCTCTCACAACCTCTTCAGAGGCATCTCTTCTAAGCAAACACATCACGTACTCCATCACAGCAGCATCACAGGGCAGCGTGATCTTGCCGTCATCGCTCTCGAACCCAAACTCTTCTCGCGACAGCATTAGGAGCTCGCTGAAGACCACTGTGCCAAGGTACGCCAGCGGGACCTCGAACCGCAGCCCATCAGCCGAGTACACAACGCAGTGTCCTTTGCCAGCCACCGACGTCGGCGTGCTACACGATCCTTCGCTTTCTTTCGCCAGGATCGGCATGACCCTCTTCCTCGCAAGGGAGGCTATCCTTTGCCACTTCCTTGCCATTTGCACAAGTCTCTTGGCACTGATCATGGTTGTCGGCTCTCCTTTCCTGACTGAAGTTCAGAGAACCTTATGTATCAGGTGCTGTTCAGCTAGGTGTAATGCTTAGCTTGCTGATGGGCAGATGAAGAGTTGCTGCTAAGCTGATGCACTTATAGGTGAGAACGAACGGAGAAGAACGAGCAGAGCATGCGGTCCAAGTGCATCTATCAACTCAGGCCGTCGAGAGACAAGCCCACGAGCTCTGAACATGCATTGCTGCAAGGAGAAAATAGTGTGTGGTTTTGATTAGATTGCTCTGGGGCCATCTGTGTTGGCACTTGTTGGATCCACCAGTAGCAATGCCTGGGTTGCTACGATATCACAATGTGCTGCCATACTGCAATGCCTCATGGGCCATGAAGACCACATGGAAATTGGGTCCAAACTGTCAGTACCAATTGTTATATGTTCTATCTCAAGATATCTGACAGTTTTTGCGCCCACAGCACATTGTCTCTGAGCGACCAGATTAAGCCTGTCCAGTGGCCCAGACAACTTGCTCGACAGCTTTATCGCCTCTTCAGTTTGCGGTCTGCAGCTGGATCACTTGCACATCAAGTGACCTCTACTTCGCAGCAGCTTCTTGAAGTTCTCTGCATTCCAGTTCTTCTATACTACTATTATTCTTGAAGCATGCCATTGCCATCTGATTGAAACACTCGGTCCATGCTTCCCTGTCCTCCATCTTGCTGGGGGCAGTGCCTTGTTATCAGTCTGAAAGCAAACAAGGAATCCTCATCACCCTGTTCTGAAATAAACCCAAGCTTATCTGCTGATGTATCTGATGGCACAACCGCCAGCTGAACAATTCTGGCCCTCACACTGCACGTTGGTACGAAGTCCCAACAAACATGGGGTCCTCGTGCCGCTTCCCCGCAACACCGCTCGGCATGGCTCCAATCCAAGCACCGAAAATGCACCACGACCGGCACCAGCATGTGCTAGACACTCGGCCCCATCAGAATCTCATCCAAATCGTGCTCGCAGACGCATCTTGCAACATCGCACTCACCGTGCTCATGGCCTTGTCCCTTGCCCAACCATTTCGCTCCAGCAGTCGAGTGAGCTATATATTCAGAGTCAGGTGGCCTCTGAACATCATCACTTGCAGCTTCACAAGCAAATCAAAACAGAGCAAAGTAGCAAACTGAAGTCTCAGCTCTCCAGCTTCCATCCAGAAAGAAGAAGAAAAAAAGCCAACAAACAACCATGATCAGCGCCAAGAGGATTGCTCATCTGGCCAAGAAGTGGCAGAGGATGGCTGCACAAGGGAGGAAGCGCCTCACCTTGGGGGCGGCAGCAAAGGAAGCCGACGAGTGCTGCAGCTCCGTGGCGAGCAAGGGCCACTGCACGGTGTACACGGCCGACGGGGCGCGGTTCAAGGTGCCGCTGGCGTGCCTTAGCACCACGGTCTTCGGGGAGCTTCTGCAAATGTCACAGGAAGAGTTCGGCTTCACAGGCAGCGACGGCAGGATCACGCTCCCCTGCGACGCGGCGGTCATGGAGTACGCCATGTGTTTGCTCAGGAGAGGCGCCTCTGCCGAGCTAGAGCAGGCTTTCCTTACCACCATGGCGATGTCGTGCCACTATGTCAGCCGTGTGGCGCCGTGTGTAGAAGCCAGCCAGCAGATTGCTGTTTAGTGCTGTTCAGTGTAGTGTAGGTGGTACTAGTAGAGCAAAGATATTAACTAGATAAGTGTTATTCAGAGCCTTGTGATCCAGCAACTGATCAAGTAAGGTGTTATAAGTACAAGAAAATAAAGAGACATGATTCTTGTTCTGAACCTATGTTTCGCTGCAGTGTCAGAGATAATTGGTTTATGGAAATTGTGAGGACTTACATTAAGTGGCAACAGAGTTCCTTCTGCAGAAATCTTGACTTCAAATCCGAGAGGATGTCCATCCAAAAATAATCTGAGAGGTTCCTGCATGTGGCACAAGTGCAAAACGCAAAAGCCATGCACAAGCACAACCGCCATTCCGGACACCAGCTCAACCGAATTGTTGAAATCGTGCCTCCAGTCCAGCCCTCTTTACGGAATCCCAGCGAAATCTGAAAGCGAACAGCAGAGTTGAGATGTGGAGAAAGACCAAAGACGGAACTTACAAACTGGCTATCAGGATTCAGGAGCTGTAAAATGGCATGTGCTCAGCATGCCGTTTACTCGTAACTTTCTTTGTTCCCATACAATATCTCATGGCGTATATTTTGACCTTCAATGCATATATTTCACTACGAATATCACCTAAAATAGATTCTTACAGCACATCAAACCTACGATTTTTTGCACGAATTGCCAAATACAAATCTACATATATGCTAGAAGATAGCATTGCGCATCACCATGGTGCTTTAGATCATGTATGCCAGTGCAAAAGCTAATTAGATGCTTTCACCGTGACATGAGCAATCACCCATTTTATTATACGACCCGTGTATGGTAGTTAAAAGAAATAAAGGTGACCATCACTTCATATTCAAAATTTATATACATCATCAGAGCTATTAAGTCATACACAAACAGCTGGCCGTTGGTTCCATGGTGCCACGCCGCTGACAGTGTGACATGGCCAGGCCATGGAGCTCAAGAAGGCTCTCACAACCTCTTCAGAGGCATCTCTTCTAAGCAAACACATCACGTACTCCATCACAGCAGCATCACAGGGCAGCGTGATCTTGCCGTCATCGCTCTCGAACCCAAACTCTTCTCGCGACAGCATTAGGAGCTCGCTGAAGACCACTGTGCCAAGGTACGCCAGCGGGACCTCGAACCGCAGCCCATCAGCCGAGTACACAACGCAGTGTCCTTTGCCAGCCACCGACGTCGGCGTGCTACACGATCCTTCGCTTTCTTTCGCCAGGATCGGCATGACCCTCTTCCTCGCAAGGGAGGCTATCCTTTGCCACTTCCTTGCCATTTGCACAAGTCTCTTGGCACTGATCATGGTTGTCGGCTCTCCTTTCCTGACTGAAGTTCAGAGAACCTTATGTATCAGGTGCTGTTCAGCTAGGTGTAATGCTTAGCTTGCTGATGGGCAGATGAAGAGTTGCTGCTAAGCTGATGCACTTATAGGTGAGAACGAACGGAGAAGAACGAGCAGAGCATGCGGTCCAAGTGCATCTATCAACTCAGGCCGTCGAGAGACAAGCCCACGAGCTCTGAACATGCATTGCTGCAAGGAGAAAATAGTGTGTGGTTTGATTAGATTGCTCTGGGGCCATCTGTGTTGGCACTTGTTGGATCCACCAGTAGCAATGCCTGGGTTGCTACGATATCACAATGTGCTGCCATACTGCAATGCCTCATGGGCCATGAAGACCACATGGAAATTGGGTCCAAACTGTCAGTACCAATTGTTATATGTTCTATCTCAAGATATCTGACAGTTTTGCGCCCACAGCACATTGTCTCTGAGCGACCAGATTAAGCCTGTCCAGTGGCCCAGACAACTTGCTCGACAGCTTTATCGCCTCTTCAGTTTGCGGTCTGCAGCTGGATCACTTGCACATCAAGTGACCTCTACTTCGCAGCAGCTTCTTGAAGTTCTCTGCATTCCAGTTCTTCTATACTACTATTATTCTTGAAGCATGCCATTGCCATCTGATTGAAACACTCGGTCCATGCTTCCCTGTCCTCCATCTTGCTGGGGGCAGTGCCTTGTTATCAGTCTGAAAGCAAACAAGGAATCCTCATCACCCTGTTCTGAAATAAACCCAAGCTTATCTGCTGATGTATCTGATGGCACAACCGCCAGCTGAACAATTCTGGCCCTCACACTGCACGTTGGTACGAAGTCCCAACAAACATGGGGTCCTCGTGCCGCTTCCCCGCAACACCGCTCGGCATGGCTCCAATCCAAGCACCGAAAATGCACCACGACCGGCACCAGCATGTGCTAGACACTCAGGCCCCATCAGAATCTCATCCAAATCGTGCTCGCAGACGCATCTTGCAACATCGCACTCACCGTGCTCATGGCCTTGTCCCTTGCCCAACCATTTCGCTCCAGCAGTCGAGTGAGCTATATATTCAGAGTCAGGTGGCCTCTGAACATCATCACTTGCAGCTTCACAAGCAAATCAAAACAGAGCAAAGTAGCAAACTGAAGTCTCAGCTCTCCAGCTTCCATCCAGAAAGAAGAAGAAAAAAGCCAACAAACAACCATGATCAGCGCCAAGAGGATTGCTCATCTGGCCAAGAAGTGGCAGAGGATGGCTGCACAAGGGAGGAAGCGCCTCACCTTGGGGGCGGCAGCAAAGGAAGCCGACGAGTGCTGCAGCTCCGTGGCGAGCAAGGGCCACTGCACGGTGTACACGGCCGACGGGGCGCGGTTCAAGGTGCCGCTGGCGTGCCTTAGCACCACGGTCTTCGGGGAGCTTCTGCAAATGTCACAGGAAGAGTTCGGCTTCACAGGCAGCGACGGCAGGATCACGCTCCCCTGCGACGCGGCGGGTCATGGAGTACGCCATGTGTTTGCTCAGGAGAGGCGCCTCTGCCGAGCTAGAGCAGGCTTTCCTTACCACCATGGCGATGTCGTGCCACTATGTCAGCCGTGTGGCGCCGTGTGTAGAAGCCAGCCAGCAGATTGCTGTTTAGTGCTGTTCAGTGTAGTGTAGGTGGTACTAGTAGAGCAAAGATATTAACTAGATAAGTGTTATTCAGAGCCTTGTGATCCAGCAACTGATCAAGTAAGGTGTTATAAGTACAAGAAAATAAAGAGACATGATTCTTGTTCTGAACCTATGTTTCGCTGCAGTGTCAGAGATAATTGGTTTATGGAAATTGTGAGGACTTACATTAAGTGGCAACAGAGTTCCTTCTGCAGAAATCTTGACTTCAAATCCGAGAGGATGTCCATCCAAAAATAATCTGAGAGGTTCCTGCATGTGGCACAAGTGCAAAACGCAAAAGCCATGCACAAGCACAACCGCCATTCCGACACCAGCTCAACCGAATTGTTGAAATCGTGCCTCCAGTCCAGCCCTCTTTACGGAATCCCAGCGAAATCTGAAAGCGAACAGCAGAGTTGAGATGTGGAGAAAGACCAAAGACGGAACTTACAAACTGGCTATCAGGATTCAGGAGCTGTAAAATGGCATGTGCTCAGCATGCCGTTTACTCGTAACTTTCTTTGTTCCCATACAATATCTCATGGCGTATATTTTTGACCTTCAATGCATATATTTCACTACGAATATCACCTAAAATAGATTCTTACAGCACATCAAACCTACGATTTTTTGCACGAATTGCCAAATACAAATCTACATATATGCTAGAAGATAGCATTGCATCATCACCATGGTGCTTTAGATCATGTATGCCAGTGCAAAAGCTAATTAGATGCTTTCACCGTGACATGAGCAATCACCCATTTTATTATACGACCCGTGTATGGTAGTTAAAAGAAATAAAGGTGACCATCACTTCATATTCAAAAATTTATATACATCATCAGAGCTATTAAGTCATACACAAACAGCTGGCCGTTGGTTCCATGGTGCCACGCCGCTGACAGTGTGACATGGCCAGGCCATGGAGCTCAAGAAGGCTCTCACAACCTCTTCAGAGGCATCTCTTCTAAGCAAACACATCACGTACTCCATCACAGCAGCATCACAGGGCAGCGTGATCTTGCCGTCATCGCTCTCGAACCCAAACTCTTCTCGCGACAGCATTAGGAGCTCGCTGAAGACCACTGTGCCAAGGTGCCAGCGGGACCTCGAACCGCAGCCCATCAGCCGAGTACACAACGCAGTGTCCTTTGCCAGCCACCGACGTCGGCGTGCTACACGATCCTTCGCTTTCTTTCGCCAGGATCGGCATGACCCTCTTCCTCGCAAGGGAGGCTATCCTTTGCCACTTCCTTGCCATTTGCACAAGTCTCTTGGCACTGATCATGGTTGTCGGCTCTCCTTTCCTGACTGAAGTTCAGAGAACCTTATGTATCAGGTGCTGTTCAGCTAGGTGTAATGCTTAGCTTGCTGATGGGCAGATGAAGAGTTGCTGCTAAGCTGATGCACTTATAGGTGAGAACGAACGGAGAAGAACGAGCAGAGCATGCGGTCCAAGTGCATCTATCAACTCAGGCCGTCGAGAGACAAGCCCACGAGCTCTGAACATGCATTGCTGCAAGGAGAAAATAGTGTGTGGTTTTGATTAGATTGCTCTGGGGCCATCTGTGTTGGCACTTGTTGGATCCACCAGTAGCAATGCCTGGGTTGCTACGATATCACAATGTGCTGCCATACTGCAATGCCTCATGGGCCATGAAGACCACATGGAAATTGGGTCCAAACTGTCAGTACCAATTGTTATATGTTCTATCTCAAGATATCTGACAGTTTTTGCGCCCACAGCACATTGTCTCTGAGCGACCAGATTAAGCCTGTCCAGTGGCCCAGACAACTTGCTCGACAGCTTTATCGCCTCTTCAGTTTGCGGTCTGCAGCTGGATCACTTGCACATCAAGTGACCTCTACTTCGCAGCAGCTTCTTGAAGTTCTCTGCATTCCAGTTCTTCTATACTACTATTATTCTTGAAGCATGCCATTGCCATCTGATTGAAACACTCGGTCCATGCTTCCCTGTCCTCCATCTTGCTGGGGGCAGTGCCTTGTTATCAGTCTGAAAGCAAACAAGGAATCCTCATCACCCTGTTCTGAAATAAACCCAAGCTTATCTGCTGATGTATCTGATGGCACAACCGCCAGCTGAACAATTCTGGCCCTCACACTGCACGTTGGTACGAAGTCCCAACAAACATGGGGTCCTCGTGCCGCTTCCCACAACACCGCTCGGCATGGCTCCAATCCAAGCACCGAAAATGCACCACGACCGGCACCAGCATGTGCTAGACACTCTCGCCCCATCAGAATCTCATCCAAATCGTGCTCGCAGACGCATCTTGCAACATCGCACTCACCGTGCTCATGGCCTTGTCCCTTGCCCAACCATTTCGCTCCAGCAGTCGAGTGAGCTATATATTCAGAGTCAGGTGGCCTCTGAACATCATCACTTGCAGCTTCACAAGCAAATCAAAACAGAGCAAAGTAGCAAACTGAAGTCTCAGCTCTCCAGCTTCCATCCAGAAAGAAGAAGAAAAAAAGCCAACAAACAACCATGATCAGCACCAAGAGGATTGCTCATCTCGCGAAGAAGTGGCAGAAGATGGCTGCACAAGGGAGGAAGCGCCTCACCTTGGGGCGGCAGCAAAGGAAGCCAATGAGTGCTGCAGCTCTGTGGCGAGCAAGGGCCACTGCACGGTGTACACGGCCGACGGGCGCGGTTCAAGGTGCCCGCTGGCGTGCCTTAGCACCACGGTCTTCGGGAGCTTCTGCAAATGTCACAGGAAGAGTTCGGCTTCACAGGCAGCGGCGGCAGGATCACGCTCCCCTGCGGCGCGGCGGTCATGGAGTCGCCATGTGTTTGCTCAGGAGAGGCGCCTCTGCCGAGCTAGAGCAGGCTTTCCTTACCACCATGGCGATGTCGTGCCACTATGTCAGCCGTGTGGCGCCGTGTGTAGAAGCCAGCCAGCAGATTGCTGTTTAGTGCTGTTCAGTGTAGTGTAGGTGGTACTAGTAGAGCAAAGATATTAACTAGATAAGTGTTATTCAGAGCCTTGTGATCCAGCAACTGATCAAGTAAGGTGTTATAAGTACAAGAAAATAAAGAGACATGATTCTTGTTCTGAACCTATGTTTCGCTGCAGTGTCAGAGATAATTGGTTTATGGAAATTGTGAGGACTTACATTAAGTGGCAACAGAGTTCCTTCTGCAGAAATCTTGACTTCAAATCCGAGAGGATGTCCATCCAAAAATAATCTGAGAGGTTCCTGCATGTGGCACAAGTGCAAAACGCAAAAGCCATGCAGTACACCAGCTCAACCGAATCTTGAAACTGTGCCTCCAGTTCGGCCTCTTTACTGAATGCCAGCCAAATGTGAAATGAACAGCAGAGTTGAGATGTAGAGAAAGACCAAAGATGTAACTTAAAAACTCAAAGGCAATCAAGAATTCAAGATTCAGGAGCTGCAGGTTAGGAATAATCCTGTGTGTATATGTGCATGTAGTGTCTAGGTTAATAGTCTTTACTAGTTAAATTTGAGAATCAAGTAATAGGAGTAATAGCCAATAAACAGTAGTCATTGTCAGCGCATTTAATAGGAAATATGCCCAGCCCAAATTGTAGCTCATGGCTGCCTATGTATGTAGAAGAGAAAACCAGAAAATATTAAGACATTCCAGCCACCAAATCCACTGTGTACATGTGTGTGTGTGTTTGTGTGCGCACGTGTGTGTGTTACTGTGACCTGTTGTGGGTTATTTGCCTATCGCTGCAAAATGGCATGTGTTCTGCGTGTTCTGTACTTGTAACTTCCTTCATTTCCATGTCCATATCTCTTGGACTGTATTTTTTTACTTAGGAGTTTACTGATCTTCATTGTCAGATAGCCTGCATAAAACAGCAGCAAACCAGGAAACTTGAATAGGTCGATGGATCTGCTTTGTAGAAAAAATTGTATGGAGACCCAGCGTGCCTTACCACAGAAATTTGCATGGTAATAGAAGTAGAGGCAAAATGAGCAAATACTTCATACTTCAAGCAAGTATATCCTGGAATAGCTCTAACACACAACAGAGGCCCCATAGGCTACATGCATTTCAGCATATGTTCAGATTGGGCTATCTAAAACTTAAGCTTGGGCCAGTCAAAAGTTAGACCACCACTGAGATGGTACAGAAGACTCAAGGGGAAAAAAAGAGCCAGCACAGGGTTGAAAGACATTACTCGCTAAGATCAAATTGTAAGTTCTCATGTTTGAGCATCTGGCATCAGAAATATGGATGGAATCACTTATAATTCTTCAGGTATCAAGAATAAATCCAACCTTTGTTGGCATCATAAATTTTCTAGAGACAATATAAGTGTCACGACGCTACTGGTTTCTACAAGCGTGGAGCTTGACTTTTTTTTATAAGCATCACAATGGAAACAATGCAACACTTGTCAGAATTGAGAGGAAAATGTGAAGAATGTTGTAGTACTATTGATTGATTACCTGAACATGTGACATATGCAGAAATGTTACCATGTGGATGTATCATATATATACCATGGAAGATGCAACACTCTTTCCTTCAGGAAATACCATTATACTGTTGTCTCGTGGAAACAAATACCCCAATTAGGAATGCAGCATTATCTGAAACTCTCTATGAATCCTAGTTTTGTTGATCAAGAAAAAATCTGTATAAACCACAAAAGGCCAAGAGAACAAGAAAAGGCCAATCTGACACAGTAATATGTAATATAATCACAATAAGAACTGATCATTACCTGTACTGTAATTCACTGGTTCTAAAAATTTGATGGCAATATCTTTTCTCAAACGCGCTTGTTGGCGATATCTTGATGCTGCCATGCTGGTATCATATCAACCCACAAGACAATATTTCACAAATGTAACTAAAAAAAGATCTCAATCAACATCTTAGTGTTACTGAAAAGGGGAATTTTAGTATATGTACTTCATAAATTTGTCAATCCAAGTGCTGCTCATGTGTACAAGTGTGTGCTGGGTTTGAAATAAATTTCTTAAACCACCTGGCTAATGCTAAATCACACCAAAAAAAATCAACTAAATCACAACACTAGGGTGGATTAGAGAAGAAAGAGAAGCAAAAGCTACTAGTCTACTACTAGCTGTTGCCTGATGGGTCTATAGAGACTATAAGCTGGTCCCTTTAGAAGAAAATGGATTAATCATCCCAAACTCCAACTCCAAATTTAAACAGCATGCACATCAAGCAGATACTAAGATAGAAACCAGATTGTTGATTTAAAGCGGTCAAAAGGCGGCTAGACAGATCGCTATAGTTGTTAACATCACAAGTGCTCTAAGATGGATGCGTCAAACATTCCCAAACAAACAGAATCACCTGCAGGACTGGATAACCCGCGATGTTAGTATCAGTTTGCTATCTCACACACCATCTAGAGTTTACACATTTCACCGAACTCCAGACGGGCATCTTCTCCTCTGTGGGCGGAGAGGGGACGTAATAAAGGCCGTGCTCTTGGAGATGCAAGCGGATGAATAACCCGCGATGCCAACGAGGAGGATGAAGTACATTAACGAGAGAGGGTGCACCTGAAGCGCTTGCGCTTAGCCTAGTACACGGCGAGCTCCTTGCGGCTATCCACCACGACCTGCGGGCTCCGCCTGCGCCTGCACCTCTACTCCGAATGGCTTGTTCTACCGCCGCCGCCGCCGCTCGCCCTTGTGGTACGGTTCGAAGCAGAAGCAGGGTTTTGAAAATAAGCGACTCGCTCCCAGATTTATTCTTGGTATCACCTACTCGCTCCATCGAAGAAAAAAAAACTTGCGATCTAGCTCATCGTTAAGTGTTTAAGCAGCTCATTTGTTTGAGAATACTGAATAGCGATATCAATATTCAACTGCTGCTGCTATGCAGAACTGAAACGAAGGGCGCTAGGGGCGGTAGGCTAGGTGGAGGACTAGAGGCCATGGAGGACTGTGAAGTAATCGCTTCATTGTTTCAGTTCTGAGGTGTTTTATACTATTACTCCGGAGTAATATGGTCTTTGCACCGCAAGCAATTGCCCAGTCCGGTTGGCTGATAAGCCATGGCTGAAAGTACTGTTGGTTGATTTGTTGTGAGAGAAAAATATTGTTCGTTGGCTGAAAACGTATGGCTTATAAGCCAAGCGAAC